TCTTTTAATTCTCGGTATAGGATCTTGAAAGAGCTATATTTACAATGAATGAGAAAACAATTCAAGGACCTAATGGAGGTCCATTGGTTAAACTCCAGGTAATTAGAATTGCAGCGGAAACTAATACGAGAAATCTAATCTTGTATTAAAAATATTACATCTGATATTATTTTCTGCAAACAGGTTGAAGTTGCAAGGCCTACTGGCAGAAACAAGAAACGAGCTCATGAGGATTCACACAGCAGTCCTGCTATGGTTCAGGGTCATTCCAAACTTTTAAAGGAGGAAATAAGCGCCAGTCCATCCATTAATCATAAGTTCAATGTCCAGAAGGTGAAGCACTCTCTTAATGTTATTTGTTTCATTCACTGGTTTCTTAATTTTTTTTTTGTATTTTTCAACCTGGGAAGAACAGTATAGCTATGAATATTTTTCAACTAAAACACAATTATCGAGACTTTAATATGTTAAAATTAGTAGGTGTAGTCTGTAAAACCTGTAATAAATTTGTATTGAAAATGTTGCATTGCCTGCAGTTGAGCTTCAGTTATTGTGCCTGTATTACTATTATGCATAGTTCTTGTGCTAGATCGTGTCCTGCTATGTAGTTTGTTATGAGTTGTCTCCTTTGTGCTTCAGATTTTCATTCACTTGTTGAATAGAGTGCAAAGGAAATTTATATTGAGCTTTTCTTGTATCATCTCTCTCTTATAATTTGATCTAGCATTTTCTTTTCCACCAGGACTTGGAATATGCTGCTGATCCTTATGAGGCTGCTGTAGTCTCCTTACCTTTATCTATTAAAGAACGTTTACTCCGCATCCTACGTCTTGGAATTGCTACTCGTTTTGATGTAAGTTTTAGATTATCATTATAAAACAGTATGTGTGATAGTTAACTCCAACTCTTTGTTGAAGATGTATATTATTAGTGATAACTTTTTCACAATTACATTTGTGCTACCACCTTGGTGTTATAGCCTTTATCCTTTCACCATGTCTATATGCATTGATGGTCTCTTTGCATCAATATCTTCCCTTTTAAAGATTTGGCATGTCATCTTGCAATTGGTGAAAATCCCTAAACCGATTTGTTTCTTCAGTTTCTTGATATACTTTGCGCATGTTAAGCAAGGCTTGTAATTGCTTAAGCTGATCAAACTCTATATTTATTCCATTTCGTAGTATTGTCAACTTTTACCTTCTCTAACACACTATTTATCCACACGTATTGTAGGATCCACAACTTACAATCTAATAAAAGCTTTGCCGAATATGTATTTGATGTAGTCCTCTCCCCTTGTTCATTTAAAAAACCAATGGATCTGGTATTCGTAGATGAAGACCGTTGCGTGTAGCAGCCTTCTTATTTTTTGCATCATGCTTACTGGTGTAAATCACCAGAACTTAAACGTGATGATGTATTGTATTTATCTCTTCTAAACACTATTCTCTGAAATTTCAATTATTTGGTGTTGTTTGTTGACAGATAGACATACAACATCTGAGCAGTCTCAAGCAAATACCTGAATCTGCAGCTATATCAGTCCTTGACCAGGTTTCAGAGAAATCTTATTTACGCTTTTCCTGGATACTGATTTAATTGATTGACACTTTTTTTCTCCTTTCAAGAACTTATACTTGAATGCTATGGTCTCAAATTCTTTTTGAACATTTGAAGATTCCCATGTCTTGCTTTGCAGTTCATGTTATCGGGAGCTGGTTTGCAAAACAAGGGAGCATATCTTGCTGGTTTAGTGTCTAAAGTATGCATCTGATCTGTGACTTCTATGCATAGGCATGCTTTAGTTTTACTGCTGTTTTCATTTGCTATTGCTTTTGTTCTTAGCATTTCTTTCCCTATGTAGTACCTGGTTGATAAAGCAGGACATAGTGAAAACTTAGCAAGTTTGTCAAGAGTAGTGGATGTAACTGCAAAAGAATCTAAATTATTCAGCTTCCCTAGTCGAGTAACTGTACCAGCAGTTGACTCTTTTGATTACAGCGTGCGCCCGGTGGCCAGGTCAGTATTCTGGTTCAGTGTCTAATTCTGTTTTTCAATTCAGTAAATCTTTTAGCTATATAAATTTTAATGAAGTTTATGAATTTATGATCAATGCACACGAATAAAAAAAAGCACAGTTAAAAACTTAAAAGAATGCCCAATCTTTTTAAAAGGCCCCCTTTCATTTGTCAATGTGAAAAGGGGCGACCACAAACTTCTCTTTTAAAAAGTCATCTTTTGCCTCAGTATAATTTAAGTAGGTGAAACATACTTTTTATTCACTCATTCTATGGATCATTTTACTAACTTTTGGGCTCCATTTCTTATCTAAACTCATTTTCAACCTCACGTTTTATTGGACCCACAACTTCTATTAACATTTTAATGATACATTTCATCAACTTCATCAAAATCGACTAAAAATTTGATTTTTATCAAGACCAAATGGGGGCTATTTATGCATACATTTTATGGATCCATAACTTATTACCCATTATTTATCCATACATTTTGTGAGGCCTGCTATTGAAATTTTAATTTAAGCATTCTCAAACAAGCACTCAGTTGTCTAGTTTCCCCTTGTTAAAAGGGTCTTCTTCTCCAACACCTCATCTTCCAATGTTACCCACCCCACCCCTTTCCCCTTCCCTGCCCCAACCTACGCACTCTTACCCACCCTCCATTTCCCCTCTTTACAAGTCCCTCCCCCATTTCAACGTAGGAACTCCCAAGTAAAGGAAAGGGGGCTATTTATTGGTGGTCTTGAGGGAATTTTAGTTTCATGTATTGCAATATGAGGAAGGTAGCAACATTTTATAGCTGAAATCTTGCAGGCCTGGAATTTACATGCCGCGCTATTCAGTCTCTGATTATCCTTTATCAAGTCGAGTAGCTGAAGAAAAAGAGGAGGCAAGAGGCTCAGATTTTGTTTTATCAAGCGGAGCATCAGTAGGAAGACTGGTGGAGAGAAGCATTTCTCCTTTTGAGGCAGCACCAACTTCATCTTATGCAAGAGTCGGATTAGGTTTAAGAGGGGATGATCCATACCTGTCTCCCCCACAGCCTGCACCACTTTCATCTAGAACTTACCCAAGAGTTGGAGTGAATTTAAGTTCTGGCATTACAGCTGAAACTAATCACCAAGCAGCTCGTCCTCAAGTTAGGTTTGATCCCTTTACAGGCGAGCCTTACAAATTCGATCCGTTCACTGGTGAACCTATTAGTCAAGAGGCTCTACGCCGACCCCCCTTCTAAAAACTGTTTTAATTCTCTGTATTCAAATGCTTTTTTTGTTCTTTGCATCGAGATGCAATAGCAATACTGAGTTAACATTACAGTGTTGTATGTTAAATACTTTTGTTGGGCAAATTATGCCATTGGTATTTATTGTGAGATTACCGTTTTGCCTTGTCCTGTACCCCTTCACGTTTCTGCTCGTCACTGGACAACCTTTTTCTAAGTAACATGAGCAGACATATTAGGCAGAGGAATTCTAATGTTCATATATATGCTAGTGATCAATGTGCAGAACGATCTACATACCCCAAACTGATTTGTTTATTATGCAAGATGCCTTTTTGGAATCCTTTCGACCCACGGACACACCCCGTCTCCCTCGAAGGGCTACTGAACCTAGGCTCCACAGGTAATCTTATCTTCTACTAGTAATCTGATTATTCTTGTAGGGAACTATAATGAATGGATAATTGTGTAGAGGAAGGATAATCAATGGATAATTGTACGGATAATCAGTTGGATGCAGGTAATTAGAATATGGAGTATTTTTCATGTCTCACACGCAAAGGTACAATCATTTTTTGCATGTGATGTTCCATGTGCAATCTTTCCTTTAATTTGTTCTCCTCTTTCTTGCATTTCAGGGCTTTAAGTTTGTTGCCCATACTACATTCACGTGTGCCCTTTTGGGAGGCCAAATCCATCCCACACCCCGCTAGTCGGAAGCACCCTTTATAACGAGTGAAATGACTAGAATGCCCTTCGGTTCTTTTAAATGATTGAACTTTTTTCTTTTTTAACCTTTTTGATCGTCGTGGTTCTTAGCTTGAACTGATTTTCTCGAAATTATTTTTGTCACTCATTTTCAATCACATTTTGTGCTTAACTGTCAAGTCTTGTTTCGTTCATAAAGAATGCTTGTCAATATCGACTAGTATAGAAAAATGCTTTGTACCAGTCAAGATAAAAAATAATTTTTTATCCAAATTCGAGAAATCCAATATTAATACGTAAATCTACTACAAAATACACTAGTATTTTAACATAGAATACCTTCCAATAAATTATTTAAGTTTAATATTAACTATTATGATATCGATAAATAAAATTTCAATCATATTTGAATAATGGTGTGTATATATATATAGGAATGATCTTCTAAATATCGATGTTTAGCTTATGTTAAGCATTGGTGACATGAATTGGTGAATCATTAAATACATGAGATTCATCATTAATTTATTTACCAATTAAATGATATGACATGTCATCGATGCTTAGGAGATCATTTTCGTATATATATATATTTCATCAAATTCAATCATATATCCAAAATGGCATTGTTGTAATTTCTTTACAAACAAGTGGCATTATTTCATTAATTAAATATGAATTTTGCTACTTATACATAAAAATAATACATAACGGGGAAAAGAATGGATAAAGAAAAAAAAAAAAGAAAAAAAGAAGTTGATTGTGGTTTAACTTTTAAATTAACAAATGATAAAATGACATGTGATATTATGTAACTTGAAAAGCTTAATGTACATATAGCAAGTATCAATTATTTATACCCCCATATCACATCCCCCAGTATACCGTCATCTCCCGGACTCAGTTTCGCCACCATTCGCTGTTACTCCGCCACCTCAAATGGGTCGGCAGATAAAGAACTCCATAAATGTTAGAATTTTGGGGCAATCTGAATTATGTTGTTAAAATAATTGTAAAATTCTAATTGAAATGCACATCAAGAGGAATTTTAGTTGGAATGCTTTGAGGAATCCTTCAGGTTTAATTGTCAAATTCTATTTACAGTTCTATTTTGAAATTCATTGGGAGTTGGAATTTGAGTTGGACTTGAAAAGTTCAAATAAGGAAACTTTTAGACGTTTTATTTTATCTACAACTCTACTTCTAGGGATGAATTTTTTCCTATAAATATGAGGCTCCTCTGTTAGTATTGTGAGAAGCAATTTTGCTAAATTGTACTTATTTTCTCCATATTGTTCAGTAATAAATATCGTTCCTCTGCGATTAGCCCTTTTTGTTTTTCTTTACTTTAAATCTTGTTTTCGTGGTGTGATTTTGTTTACTTCAATATTGTCATTAAATATCATTCTTTACAATATGATTTGGGATCAACGAGTGGTATCGGTGTTTTTGTGCCCAACAAGTGATATCTAAGCTTGGTTCCTTTCACAAATTGGTTGAGATTTTTTCGGGATAGCTGGGTTAGAGTATGATTTTCCGCAATTAGATCGCAACACAAGGTTTTTTTTTTTTTTTTTGTGACAAGTAATAAGGAGGGTTATTCTGGCACAGTTGGATTTGGACGATGCGTTGCTAGGTTTGAGAAGAGACCAGCTGATTGGACAACGGAGGAGAAACAACGAAAGGATCGGAAAGCTGTGTCATTGATTCATTTTCATTTATCCAACAATATTCTGCGGGATGTCTTGAAGGAGAAGACGACGACTGCTTTGTAGTTGAGACTAGATCAGTTATGTATGACTAAGAGTCTTATCAGTAAACTGGCTCTTAAGCAGAAGCTGTATTCCAATAGCATGGCAGAAGGTGGATCGTTGGAAGATCACATTGATTTGTTCAAAGAAATAATTGCAGATTTGGAAACATTGAAGGTTAAGTACGATGAAGAGGATCTTATTTTGATCCTGTTGTGTTCGCTGCTTGATTTTTATGCTTCGTTTCGGGACACCATCTTGTATAGCCGAGATACTTTGACTATAGACGATGTCTATGATGCTTTGCAATCAAAAGAGAAGGGATGAGAAAGCTCCTGTATCTCAAAGTGGTTGATGGAGAGGCAGATCGAAAGTCAACTTTAGCAATGTATATTGTTACTACTGCAAACGGAAGGGACATATTCAGAAGGATTATGATATGCTGCAGGCTAGAGGTAATTTAGCTACAAATCATGGAGTGCAACCTTTGACTTCAGACGAAACCAATGTAGTTGAGAATTTTTTAGATGGCGGAGATGTGATGTTGACCGTGGTTTCTGATGTGGAACCTAAGTTTGACGAGGAGTGGATTTTTTATTCGGCATATTCACACCCTATGTGTTCTGATAAGAATTTATTTCAAACATATGAGGCAGTTCAGCAAGATGGAGTTGTAATGAGAAAAAATCAGTCTTGCCGTATTGTTGGAATCGATCGAGTTAGATTACAGTTACAGGATGGGACAATCATAACACTTGGCCAAGTTTGACATGTTCCAGATCTGAAGAGGAATCTAATCTCACTGAGTGCCCTGGATGCAAAAGGGTATAAATTTTCTGTGGGAGTTGGAGTCTTGAATGTCCGAAAGGGAGTCTAGGTTGTGCTGGAGGGATGGAGAAGATCCTAGTTGTACATTTTGCAAGGGAGTGCAGAACCAGTTAAGAGGAGACATTTGGACATGTTTAGTACCGTGGTGGACATTCAGTTTGGTACAGTACCTCTTGTGTTGGGCTTTGAGTCGGTTAAGAACACTGCTAAGGAGAGCGTTGGTGATTTCGCTTTGCCACCAATTTCAGCCCTGTGTTCAGTTGCTGGGGTTGGGCTCATTGAGCGTAAGTACCGTGGTGTCAATAATATCTGGAATGCTTTTAGGGACGTTGAAGGCGACAATTCCAGTAAGGGGCCTTCTGATCAAGCATCTGGTTTGGTTCTTGATATAAGGTGTGCTTCGATCCCATGTAATCAACATTAATTTCGATGAGGAATTTTGGGAGCCCTAGGATTGAGTTCAGGTATCGCTTGTGGATGACGAGTAGAGGACGATTGTTTGGTTTATATAGAGTGTATGGTTACTGCATTAAAGAGATTGGCCAGTTCATTTCGATGCAAATGGATTTGAAATCTAGGAGTTTTATTCGATTGAACTGAAATTCATGTCAAGGTAGAGATTGTTAGAATTTTGGGGTGACCCAAATTCTTTTATTGAAATAATTGTAAAATTCTAATTGAAGTGCACATCAAGAGGAATTCTAATTGGAATGCTTTGAGGAATACTATTCAAGTTTAATTGTCAAATTCTATTTAAAGTTTTATTTTGAAGCTCATTGAGAGTTGAAATTTTAGTTGGACTTGAAAAGTTCAAATAAGGAAATTTTTAGACATTTTATTTCATCTATAACTCTACTTCTAGGGATGATTTTTTCTCTATAAATATGAGGCTCCTCTGTCAGTTTTGTGAGAAGCAATTTTGCCAAGTTGTATTTTTTTCTCCATATTATTCAGTAATAAACATTGTTATTTTGCGATTAACAATTTTTGTTCTTCTTTATTTTAAATCTTATTTTTATGGTGTGATATTGTTTACTTCAATATTATTATCAAATCTCATTTTTTACAATCCGATTTGGGATCATCAAGTAGTATCGGAGTTTCCTCGCTCAACAATAAACACAGTGACGAGAAAGAGGAGAAGAAGGTCCTCTAAACTTCACAGACGTTCGAGGCCCAGCGATATTGGCAGAACTGTCAGCAGTTCATCAATTTCCAACAAGTTGGATGCTCTAAAAAATCTTATTCCATCCGAAAGTGGGGAGATGAAGTCCGACCAGTTATTTCAAGAAACTTCCCATGACATTGTACTTCTTAATACCCAAGTTTTTGTTTTGCAGAAATTGATTGATTTGTATGGGTCAAATTCAAGCAAAACAAAGTGAAAATGTTGTACAGATTATACGCAAGAATTTTCCATTACCCATGGAAAAGAAAAAAAATGGTGGTTTGTTCTTGTTATTTAGTTCTAAAATCAACAATTTAAGTAACTTATAATTATAAAATTAAGTAGATTTTAGTATGTAACTAGGGGTGGCAAATGGGCCGAGCGGCTCGTCGGCTCGGCTCGAGACAACGGTCGGTTACTGACTTTTGTCAGTGACCATTTCGATCCCTGAATTTTATTTTTTTTAATTATGACCGTTTCGGTCCTTTAACTTTTTCTTCTTCTTCTTCTATAAATAGTGGCATTTAGCCACTATTTTTTCTACAATTCACTCTCAACTCTCTTTCTCTCAACTCTCTTGTATTGTGTTGATAGTTGTGCAATTTTTATATACAATTTATACAATATTCAATTCTCAGTTCTCACTATATTTATTGAAATTTTATTCAATTTTCATTTCTTACTACATTTATACAATTATTCTTTTATTAG